CAAGGATCAGGGAGCCCGATGCGGGACTCGATCCCAGGACCCTGGGATCATGACCTGAGCCGAAGGCAGACGCTTAACCATCTGAGCCACCCAGGTGCCCGGGAACTCAGTTTTAACATCAAGCACCCTGGGAAGGCAAGAGTGAAGGCAGGAGGACGAGTCGTCTGGATTCTGGCACCCCAAAGTGTTGAGTGTGCACCTGTGTGCTTGTTAGAGATGCAGGATCTCAGGCCCTACCGCAGGCCTCCTAAATGAGAGCCTGTATTTGAATGAGCTTCCCAGGTGATTCATGTGCACACGAAAGTTTGAGCAACACTGAGCTAGAGTTGCCTCCAAAATGGTAAGGGCACGAGGTGTCCTGAGGTTGCTGTGGGAAGGATGCCAAAGACGGGAGCCGCCAACCCCGCAGTCGGAATGACAATGACCTCAATATTGGGGACTTGTGGGGGGAACTAGGGAGTGCTGTTTGATCACCTCTTACAGACCAGGGGTGAGCCTGCACCCCTGCCTCTTACCATGAGGGCCTGTCCTCGGCCCCACAGTGAGGGCAGGAAGGAGCAAGGAGGGGCTGCTCACTAGCCCCTCACCCCTCTCTCCACGCCTCTTGCAGGAGCCTGGACTTCATTAGCCTCATGGCCTACGACTTCCATGGCTCTTATGAGAAGATCACAGGACATAACAGCCCCCTCTACAAGATGCAGGGGGAGAGCGGGGCAGCAGCCAAATTGAACGTGGTGAGTGGCTGCAGGGGTGAGGCAGGACTCCCCATCCACAAGCCCTGTCAGGTGGCCATTTTTTTTAGGATGTTATTTATTTGAGAGAGAGCAAGAGCCGGGGAGGGGGGGCAGAGGGAGAGGGAGAAGCAGACTCCCCGCTGAGCTGGGAGCCTGATCCCAGTTCCCTGGAATCATGACCTGAGCCGAAAGGCAGACGCTTAACCAACTGAGCCACCCGGGCGCCCCCAGTTGGCCTCTTTTGAGCCTTGAGGCCCTAATGGAAAGGAAAAGCAGGGTAACCAAGCAGGGCACAGAGTAGCCAGGACTTTCTGTTTCTTCGCTTGTTTCTTTTCTTCTCCTGTGTCAGTGCTGGGGGGAAACCTTAGTTCTGTGTAGCATCCTGGCTGATATTAGACACAACAAACCAATTTAACGACATCAAACAAAGCAGTGACTCATTGGGAGACTGTCTTTGAGCTTGAATGTCCAGCGAAAAGAGCTTCTTGCTTCCTTCATACCCCCCACCCCATTTCCTTCAAGATAATGGGTAAACTTTCCCTCCTGGTCACTCTGATTGACCTTCTGAAGGTGCTTTCGGAGGTGGAAGCTTTCCCGAGCTGATAACACATCAGGAGATGTCCCTCGGGGCAGGGCCCCCTCCACCCTGATCCCGGTCCCTGCAAAGGGCTGGTGTGGTTTCAGGCTGGGGTGAGTGGAGGTTTCCTGCGCGGCCCACCCTGGTGGAGCAGCCCAGAGGGTTTTTATAAGCCCACTCTGCATTTGAAAAATTAAGAACAACCTTATTATTTCTTTTAAAAAAGTAAACAAACAAACAAACAAAAACCTTAAATAAAAATGCTTTTTAACTTTGAGGAGCCTGAATCTTAGTGTATCAGCTTGGGTAGAACATCTTAGACTTCTGGGGCTCTTTCACAAATAAGGGACACATCTTTGGGCACTTGAGTCAGGCATCCGTAGTTCACACTGAGCCCAGCCCCTGCACCCCCATCTGGAAAACTGTGGGTCCTGGGGAAGCCAGCCCAGCCCAGCCAGGAAATACCCAGAGACGTTCAGCTGAGAGACGAGGGCCCTAAAGCCCACCAGCACTGTGTTCTCCAGGCTGTGTGCCCTGGATCCAATGGGGAAGGGAGACCTTTCTCCTCTTACGAAGAGGCCTTCTACTCTCTGCACTCTGTGCCCAGGACTGCTTCTGGCCAGAAGGTGACTTGTCCAAACTTGTACAAAGTGCTATAGAGCTCAGCAGGGGTCCCTGCCCTCTGCCTTCGGAAAGGTCCAGTCTGATCAGAGATAAATCATGTAGACCACCAAAAAGAAATAAATATGGATATATTAGGTGAAAAGTGTTCCTTACTTAAGTGCTAAGAGGGTATGGAGTAACAGGAGGACTTAGATTTGAACAGAAAGCTTCCTGGGGGAACCCCGTAATCCTGGCTTGAGGGAGGAGTCGTCATTATTTATTTATTCCACATCCTTAGATTGGGTACCTCCGCATGTCACAGGCTGGGATGTCACGTCAAGTCATACGTGAGGGGGAGGGCCCTGGTCAGGGACACATGAGGACACCATGTACTCATTTGTTCTTTCTGTCTGAGCATCTAAGTGTCGAGCATTGTTCTAGGCACGAGGAACACAGAGATAAATGAAGCAGACCACAAAGAGCACAGCGTGATCACAGCAATTCGTTACTGCGTTTTGCTGGACCTTATACCTGCGTCATAGCTTGTAATTCTTGCAATTTTAGTTGTTTCTATGTTACAGACAGGAAGCCCAAGGCTCAGCAAGGTTAAGTAGTAAGTTGCTGAGACAGGCAGGGATCTCGGCTGCTTTGTTCCCTGACGCATCCCAAGCATCTAGCCAGGCGCACAATGGGCCATGAATAAATATTGGCTCCGTGAATGGTTGTCTGACTCCAAAGCTCATGCTCTTGGCTAGAGTGCCATGCAGCTTCTCTTTTCCTGGGGTCAAGGATATAAGACAGGACCTAAAGAAGACAGGCCAGGGTTGGAACACTACTAAGGTTGGAACACTGTGAAGCTTCTCTGAGGCCCCCAGCTTTGGAAGACCAGAACCAGGCCAGAGGTAAGGTGAATTAACCCCGCCCCTCCTTGCCCCTCACCAGGACTCTGCTGTGCAGCTGTGGCTGCAGAGGGGGACCCCTGCCAACAAACTGATCCTTGGCATGCCCACCTACGGACGATCCTTCACCCTGGCCTCCTCATCAGACACTGGAGTAGGGGCCCTAGCCACAGGGCCTGGAACCCCTGGCCCCTTTACCAACCAGGGAGGGCTGCTGGCTTACTACGAGGTAGGAGAACCCACAGCCACCCCTAATATGGGGTGGGGTGGGGGGTGCTGCTTCTCCCATAGTTTCTGAATGAGGATGTCAGGCATAGCAAATTCTGGCCTGGTGAATTCCATCCATATCTGTCATCTTGGATTATCGTTAAGCCCCAGTGCCTCATTGAATCCAGGGTTCTAGGTCACTCAATCTAGAACCTCCTGGGTCCTGCAGACTCCCTCAGACAGGAGTTTTCTACTCTCTAGTCTCCTCTTGGCAAGGGGGCACAAGTGCCTCCTCCCCAGCTCTGCCCTCTGCTCCTACAGGTCTGCTCCTGGAAGGGGGCCATTGAGCACAGAATCAAGGACCAGAAGGTACCCTATGCCTTCCAAGGCAACCAGTGGGTAGGTTTCGATGATGTGGAGAGCTTCAAAACCAAGGTGAGGCCCAGCCCTACTGGGAGTGGGGTGGTCCTGGGTAGGCCGGAGCCTGTCAATAGCACTGAATGATAACATTCAGAACCTCTTCAAAGAGGAGTCTCCTTTAAAATATCTCAACATGTCACAGATCTTCTTGTGATAGTATTTTGTATTTTTACCACCTATTGATTAAGAAAAGACACGATCACAAAAAGTTGCTCTACACTGAGTACCACTTTTGGAAGAATTTGCATTTTATTACATACTTGTATTTGTATTTAACAAAATGCAGATTCTACAGACATATGAAGAGGAGAAATACAGTGAGGTGTATCCTTTTATTCAGCTCATTGACAATATTTGGTGCATGTTCAAATTATAGACCTTTTGATTTACTTATATGACCATCCCGCCATCAACTCTTGCCCAATATTGGTGGTTCAAAACGAGTGCATTTATGTCTTTCTTTTTCTTTTACATTTTTAAATTCAAATTCAATTAATTAACATATAATGTGTTACTGGTTTCAGAGGCACAGGTCTGTGATTCATCAGTCTTATATAATACCCAGTGCTCATTACATCACATACCCTCCCAATGTCTATCACCCAGTTACCCCATCTCTCCACCTCCTCCCCTGCATTTATGTATTTCCATGCCTCTGTCCCCCATGAGACTGTGACCTCTTGCGGAGGCACCCACACCTGTTCATCTGGACAAGTCACATCCCTTCTGATTCAGGGCAGACAATGGCAGGTCTTCCTAGAGGGGTAGATCAAGGGCTCTGGGAGAATTGAGCAGGGAGGGTGATCCTGGCTGGAGGAGACAGACAGGAGAAGGGGTCATGGTGGAAAGGTCTTTGAGAAAGTCTGAAAGCAGAGAAGGTGGGCGGGCCCCAGACCGGCCCTCTCTTCCAACACCCTGCCTCATGCCAGGGCCCCCTGGCAGGCTTAGGGGACAGGGAAACCCCCTTAAGGGAACACACAACCCTTTCCTGGGGACAACTTGGGGATCTAGTGGAGAAGAGAAGGCCCTCGAGGGAGGAGAAAGACCTAAAGACAGGAAATTGTTCAGATCTCTGGGGAAGCTTCGTCATCCCTATGGTAACTGGATTCATCACAACCAGCAGGCAGTGTGCCCCCAAACACAGCAGCTCAGCCCAGAAAAGACAGAGATGGTAAAGCTTCGAACCTAAGGAAGTTCACACGCATCCACTCCTCACACCTCTACCCTCATGCCCACCCCAGGCCATGCTCATGTTGAGGCGGGAGGATTCTAGAATGACTTATGCCTGGTAGGGATCAGGACTCGGTCACCTGGGCTTCTAGCCCAAGGCTGTGTCCAGGAGCCTGGACCACTCATGGCCTGGGGGTGCTGGAAACAAGAGCCCTGTCTCTGATGAAGAAGCCAGAGGATGGGCTCTGGGGCGGGCCTGGCCGGGCTGCCCCAGACTCCTCCACCTGTGGTCTCGCTCCCCGCACAGGCCAGCTACCTGAAGCAGAAGGGCCTGGGTGGGGCCATGGTCTGGGCGCTGGACATGGACGACTTCGCTGGCTTCTTCTGTAACCAGGGCCTCTACCCCCTCATCAAGGCACTACAGCGGGAGCTGAGTGAGTAAGGGGTCCGGGACCAGAGGCAGAATTCGGGGCTAGGGTCCCAACACCCCCGCCCTGAGCTGCAGGTCCCAGCTCCTTCTGAGGAAATAACCTTGTCCCAGTACTGCAATTTCCCAAATTTCATGCACCCCTGAGGGCTAAGGAAACTGTTGAAACCATTCTCTTTCCAGGCTCTTCTTCCCCTTTCTGACTGTGGCAATGCCTGTCGGGGGTGTCGGTAACCGGGGCTTCTCTCTGGGGGCCCTCAGCCTGGGAACCACAGCTTGCTCCTCTCTTCAGAGGGAAAGCTTGCACTCAGCCTGCAGTGCAAGACCCCCGGGGGCCCTCGCCAGTGTATGGCTGGTCTGTGCCGACGGTGGATGGCCACCGACTGCCTCTTACCTGTGTGGCCCCCGTGTGGCCCATCGAGCTGTGCTGCAGCCGTGGGCATAGCGTTGTCGGGCTGTTCTCTGCCTGTGGGTGGGGACCCCTTGGAGGAGACTTGGCTGAATCTTCCCTCTTTCCCCACGTCTTCCCTATATGCCTTTAGGCACGCCAGAACCGGAAGTCCCCACACCACGCCGGCCTTCTGAACCTGAGCGTGGCCCCAGCCTTGAACAGGACACCTTCTGCCAAGGCAAAGCCAACGGGCTCTACCCTAACCCTCGGGACCAGAGCAGCTACTACAGCTGTGTAGGGGGGAGGCTGTTCCAGCAGAGCTGCCCTCGGAGCCTGGTATTCAGCTCCTCCTGCAAATGCTGCACGTGGAGTTGAGCGCCCGAGGCCTCTGAAGCCCCAGCCACCAGGTCACTGGGGTCACTCCACGGCCTGCCTCCCCAGCTCTCCCCAGGGGCTGCAATCCTGCGGACCTCTCCCGTCTTTCCATAGCCAAGCGTTCTGCTCTCAGCCGTGGTTCCTTTTGTTCTGGCCCTCCTGGGATGCCTCTTTTACTTGCAAAATAAATCTGTGGTTTACACCCCACTGCCCCTGGGTGTGGTGACTTACAGCGCCTCTCTAAGCACACTGTTAGTTCAAAACTGGGGAGGTGGGGAAGCCAAGAGGAGAGGGTAGCATAAGGCATGCAGAGGTCTGAGCCTGGTGAGAAGGTGGCCCATTCTGGGCGTGACAGGCCTTGTGTCACGTCTCACCACCTTCCAGCCAGCAGTTTTCAGGGCCCAGGTGACCTCACCGGAGAGCTTTTCCCACTCACCTCCCCTCAGGTGTCATTCCCAAAATTCACACTAGATGGCAGCAGAGAAGAGCTTTTTCTTGGCTCAGCAAGAAAATGGGAATCCAGACCCCAGGTAGGTACTGAGTTGAGGGCTTACTTTGAGATCAATCCTGTTTCAGGCCCCTCCCTTGCCTTATGTCACCTACTTCTCCTATTTGCCTGATGAGGCAGGGACGATATTATCCTCATTTTACAGGAATTTAAACCGAAGACAGATTCTCACCCAGTTCTGAGTGCAGAACTGAGGCCTACAGAGGCCAAGATGGGCCAGAAGAGCACACACATGCAGCCACTTGAATACCTGAGCCATCCCAATGGTCCTTGCAGCTTTGGGTCGAAGCTTGATCATTCCGGTTGAAGAAAATCTGCACGTCACCTGATGGCCCATCTGGCCTTGCACTCACCCGAGCTGGGTTTTGCGGGGGGGGGAGGGGGGGCACTCAGGCAGGCAGCTGGAGATGGGGACGGGTGGGAGAGAGGACTTGACCTGACCCTTTACCTGAGTACAGACAGTACCAGATCCCCAGAAAAATGACTTCCCCACTTCTACAGCCTGCCTGTCCTCAGGCCTTCACAAATCTGTTCTTCAGCCCAGGGCACAGTTCTGCTCTTGCACACATTCCCTTCCTTTGAGGTCTCAACTCCAAGGAAATATGCCACATCCGTGCTTGACAGGAGCCTCCTAAGTGCTCAGAATGGGGTCCTGGGTGGCAGTTTCCTTTTGGGGAGTGCCGAACTGACTTCTGGCTCCACCACCTACTGGTTGTGTGACTTTAGGCAGAGAAACAGAACCTTATCAACTCATCTGTCAGGTGGAGATAACCCCTCCTCTTCATGATCAGCACTCATGCCTTCCCTTCCTCCTCCCTTCTCTGTTCTTTCTTTACCTTTTGGGGGCCGGATAAGTCAATAATTTAGCAGAGAGGAGTGCCTGGGTGGCTCAGTCGGTTAAGCATCCGGCTCCTGATTTCAGCTCAGGTCATGATCTCAGGGTCCTGAGATCAAGCCCCGTAATGGGCTCCGCGCTCAGCAGGGAATCTGCTTCTCTCCCTTTGCCCCTCCCCCCTCTCTCTAATAAATAAATACATCTTTTAAAAAAAGAATTTATCAGAGTCTCCTTTTGGCAGAATGAGCTCTTGCATGGGTGTCTAAAGCCCAAGTCCACCTACATACACAGTATTACATTGGTGCTAGCTTCATTCTCAGGACAGTATTAACCACGGCCTCTCTCTGGTCTGCTCCAACCCATGGTCCTCATGTCAGCTGAGGCCAGCACCACCTGTCACTGGTCTTCTCACTGGTCTCCCTGCTTCCCGTCCCTCCCCTGTCCTGGCCAACCTCCACACAGCCACCAGCTCAATCTTTCTAAATTTCGGATCAAATCCTGACATTCCCTGTGCTTAGTAACTACCAACAACTTCTGCTGGCCAGAGAACTGAGTCTCCATTATGAACACAGAGTCAAAACCCTTTATCAGGCCCCTGGTCTCCTGGTCTCATTTCCTTTCATCCCACCCCAGTTTGGTGGTCAGATCCCCAGATGCCAGCATTTAACCTCAGCCATGCCAACTTCTCACAAGAAACCCCCAGATGTCTGTCATCACCCCATGAGGCTTGATCTCCAGCCCCAAAGCAAATACTACTTAAAACAAAATTTTTTTTAAAATGTATTTATTTATTTAAGAGGGGAGGATGGACAGAGGGAGAGGGAGAGAGAGAATCTCAAGCAGACTCTTCGCTGAGCAAGGAGCCCAACGTGGGGCTCGATCGCACGACCCAGAGATCATGACCCGAGCCGAAATCAGGAGTCGGTCACTCAACTGACTGAGCCACCCAGGCGCCCCAGCAAATACTACTTTTTAAACTAAACTTTTTCCCTTTACCCATCAGCCTGCCCCACCAGCCCCCCAACACTTACTTATAGACTAGGTGATGCACCCCTGTGTGGAGCAGGCCTTTGAGTCAAGTGCAAATGCCGCTTGGATTATTGGTGGGATCAGCTTTGAGCAATATCATTTGAAAGGAATTTTTGTATCCCTCATGTGACTTAACCCATGAATGTCTGGCCACTCTACCTAACAGGGATGACCACTCAGCCCTATAAAGGACAGGCCCCTCTGGCCTTCTCTCTGAGCACGTTCATAGCATTTACCACCATGACTAATACACCTGCCAGAACCCCAGGCAAATACTTAACCCTCATCCCTTCTCCCAACCGGGACCCAGCTCTCTTGGTGGGCCCACAGCCCCCTACCCCCACCTGCACCCACTTCCAAACGTGCCACACCCTACCTAAGCAGTGAGAGCTGAAACTCTATTGTTTTTATTTTGTTTTAATTATGAAATCTACCATGTAGACAAAAGAGTGTTTAAAATATGTATGTTCCGGGGCACCTGGGTGGCTCAGTCGTTAAGTGTCTGCCTTCGGCTCAGGTCGTGATCCCAGAGTCCTAGGATTGAGCCCCGCATCGGGCTTTCTGCTCCGCGGGAAGGCTGCTTCTCCCTCTCCCACTCCCCCTGCTTGTGTTCCCTCTCTCGCTGTGTGTCTCTCTCTGTCAAATAAATAAATAAAATCTTTAAAAAAAATAAAATAAAATATGTATGTTCCATATTTCCCATAAATCCATCACCCAAGTAAGGAAACACAACATTACCAGTACTTTCCAAGCTCCTGATGCGCCCCTCCTTAATCCTATACACCTCTAGCTAGATTTTGGTTATTTAGTCCCTCATTTTCTTATTTACCGACTGTGTGCATATTCCTAAACAAGATATTGTTTAGTCTAGACTGTCTTTGACCTATGTAGAAACATACTGTGTGGTGTTTGTTGTGGCTCAATTTTATCTTCACTTAGCTGGAACCCACTCCTTTTCACTGCTGTATAGTATTCCACTGTGTGTCTAAACCATGACTTATACGTTCTGCTGTCAATAGGCATTGGTGTTGTTTCCAGTTTGAGGCTCATGTGGACAACATTGCTATGAACACTTCTGAGCATGTCAGTTGGTACATATGTGTAGAATTTGGGGCACATGCAAGGTCAGCTTTATTAGGTGCGGGCAGATGTTTTCCCAAAGTGTATGTACAACTCCTCCCTACCATTGCAGAGTTCCTAGTGCACCCCATCCTCACCATTCCTACCCCCTACTCTATGCCATTCTGAGAGGTGATAAATGGCATCTCACTTCGGTTTAAGATCCCGTTGCCTTACTTACTTATTATTTCAGTATCTTTCTATGTCTGCAAGCTATTTGTGTTTGTTCTTTTGTGAATAATCTGTTGTGTCACTTGCCCATGTTCGTGTTGTCTCTTTCTTGTTGAAATGTAGGGGTTCTATACATATTCTGAACCCAGGTCCTTGATAGTTACAGGTTTTGCTGTATCTTTTCCCAGTTTGAGGTTTGGCTTTTCATTCTTTGAGTATTGCTTAATGTAGTTAAATTCACAAAGTTTATCCTTTATGGTTTGTGCTTCCTGCATCTTGTTTGAGAAATCTTCTTCTGGGGGTGCCTGGCTGGCTCAGTCAGAAGAGCATGTGATTTCTTTTTTTATTTTTGGTATTTTTATTTTTAAGAAGAAAAAAAACATAAGTTGCAATCATACTGATTAAACTCTTACATCGTCAGCCTTATTATCTTAACAGTTTGACAAAGCATTTTTTTCTAGGTGATTACTAATTCTTTCCAAACATCCTTTTAAGTGACTATACAATATTTTATGGAATTTAAATGCATAATGGTTTTTTTTTATTCTTATGTTAATCCCCATATATTACATCATTAGTTCTAGATGAAGTGTTCCATGATTCATTGTTCGTGCACAACACCCAGTGCT